GAGGTCTTTTGGTCCAGCTGTGATGATCAGGAATTTTGTCAACCACTGGGTAGGAATTTCAAATTTACAAAACCATTTCCAGAAACTTAGGTGCAATTAAATATGAGCTCTAGTCCATTATTACAGTACATGACACTTTTTTCAGATAGAAATTCAAACCCGTTTTCAAGTTTTTCTTCCTCTTTGAAAACACAGCAGTCACCTAGGGCACCACCTACTGGAGGCCTTGGACCTCTTTAAGAAAACGTTGCATCTTTACCAAGTGCATTACTTAATTATAGATTTTAATTTTTTAGAAAGTGCACCATCAATCTGGAAAACTTTTTTTTTTTTAACTGTGTCTTATTTCAAATTTGCAGGTGTACTGGGTGGGGCCCATGATTGGTGGGGCCATGGGCGCAGTGCTGTACGACTTCATACTGTTCCCTCGTATGCTGGGCCTTTCTGAGAGGCTGGCAGTCCTGAAAGGCATCAGGCCTCCGGAGGCCGAGGGCCAACAGGAGACCAGGGCAGAGACCATTGAGCTCAAGACACAATCTCTATAAACCTGGAGTAGAAGAATTAAAAGAATTTCTGACCCCATCACGCACCAATCACTGACAGACCTCCTCCTCATCGTCCCTTGATCCACAGTGAAGGGGGGGGGGGGGGCACCACAGCCCTGAACACCTCTGATGAACTCCCCTGGACTCTAGGACAAGGATGGAGGGCTAGAAGAAGACTTGAAATAAGCAGCCTCTGCCCTGAGGTATGTAGAATCAGCCAATCACGATCGACTGTGGCGACAGGGGCATCTCTATCTTCCCTCTTTCTTTTTTTCCCCCTATTTTGTAGTCAACTAGGAGTGAAGCTACAGTAGAGCAGTGAACATCTCATTTTCTGTTACTTTCTTTTACATGAACATTGAGTAGATTTCATGTGAGTGTTGAACTCTTCCAATATTTATTGCATCACATCGCGTCTTTTTCTTGTGAAAGAGAACCAGAAAGTAAGTGTGTATGCATGTTTTGTCTGAGTGTGTTATGCTCCGTTTGAATCCATCACATGATTTTTACATTTCTATTTCTGTGTCACTCGCATGTGTCACAGAAACCATGACAGTTGTTGTTGATTCATCACAAAAAAACGGATTTTAGGCAAAATGCTGCCTTTTCATCGATGCTGCGGACGATTAATTCACACTTAAAGCTGAGTTAAATTAATGCCTCAAATCATAAAACATAATCCATTTACTTTAAGCATTAAACACTCTGTCCTCTGATGTGACCCACTGCTCCTGAAGTGCAGAATGTACGAGTTTATACCCAAATATGCTGAACTCCTTCAATAAATTTGAAGTATTTCTGCTTACTGCTTACACCAGCATTTTCCTTTACCTTTTGTAGAAGTGTGTAATTGTTGCTTTGCTTTTAATTATGAGCTTTCACTTCAAAAAAAGCTCAGGCAAATCTGGCCAGCTCCACATTTAAAAAAATAAAAATTGAAAAATGCTATTCGACAAATCCCATGGTCTTTGAGACTCAGTCAGAAATGAACGGTTCAGAACAGCCGCCTCTCAAGAGAAGGTTGCTGCAGACTTTAATGTGTTTGTGAAGTACTGTCCACAGAAGGAAATAAACTCTGGACCTCGGCATGTGTCTTTCTCACTTCTGCTTCTTTTGTTTCGTTCATTTTTGTTGAAACTACATTAATGAGAACAGAAAACATAATGTCCAGAATGGGGCTGTCGAAATGACAATGATTGATAAATTACAGGAGTTAAACTAATGAAGGTAGGATTTAGTTTGATTTATTTAATCTGCTGGATTGACTGCCATAATATATAAACAGCATTATTATGAAAAAAAATTGCAATAATTCTCCAAAAAACAGAATTCAACAGAGAATAACCTGAAACAGCTCAGCACAGAATAACGAACAATATCTGATTTACTGCTGCAGTTTTCAACCCTGATCTACCCTGGTACTGTACAGGTTAACCTGCTAGTTATCCAGTTATTCCAACTGTTCCATGCATGGCCTCTTCAGTGTCACTCCATCTTTCTATCTTAGGTCTTTCAAATATAAGAGTTAAAATTCTTATTAAGATTCACTGTGATTTAGACGGAAAAATAGAACGACTTATTTCCCACAGTACAGACAAAAAGACGTAGTCTTTGGTTATTAGCTTCTACTTTTTTTTAATCAGTTTGATAAAAACGTGAGCAATGAATGATACCAAACATTAGCTTGTACAAATTGAAAAACCTAAAAAGCTGAAGGCTAAAGCTGAGGCTAAATGATATTATAAAGGTCACCAGTCCTAGCTGCTGCCACTGATTCCACTGTAAAGGCCTGGCTCTCAACCCACCAATTAACCATGCATACTGGTAATTACTGTGAAGGCAGTGTATAACATACATCATCAGAGGCTTTACTGTATATACTGAAGACAGAGACAAACTGACTGACCCACTATTTACCACTGGAGTGGAACGAGGTGAGAAAACTCTACCTGACAAAGCTGAACATGGAAAGCGCAGCAACATTTCACAGCATCAGAGATCATCTGCGGGAGTCCACTGATAACTGTGAGCTGTGGTCTTTTCACATTTTCCACCCACTGAGCATTACATTTGAAAACAATCAGAAAAAACAAGAACACTTATATATATACACAGCCATTCACTTGCTTCTCCAGCAAAATGTACAAACCCCTCAACACCAACACTAGACAATTAGCAAAATAAGTGAATGCAATAATAAAGTAGGGACAGCTGACACTTCGACACTTCCCCACCTGTTTAGTCCACTTATATTTCTCCTCAAAAAGTTCTTTCCCAAGCCCAAACAACTCTGCTGTTGCACAAGAAAATGTGTCAATTGACCGTGAAGATGAGTTGGACTCTCAGGTCTGTACTCTCAGTTCAGCTTTGAAGGGTGTTGTCCTCATATTCATCCAGTGTTTGAAGAATAGTTTCGAATTCAAAGTCCATGCTGTTGTTTGCCACAGGCCTGGACCACAGGAAAAAAAAAAACCCCATGAAACTATGTATTATATTAAGAATGTGTTGTTACACAGCATGTTTGGGTGTGCTCGCTTATGTTTTTAATAGGGTCATATATAGAGATAGATAAAGATATATATATATATATTAAAAAGCTTAAAATAAATATCAAGCAGCTTAGCGGTCATAGAGATGTCGTTTTAGATTAAACAGAAGGAGCGTGGCCCAAAACAAGAACACTGTCCCCACAGTGTTTTCAAGCATAAAGCAACAAATATAAAATAGAATAAGAACAAATATATTTTCATCTTGGCTTCCAACGAAACAATTAACACTCTTAAAATATTTGTGTCAAATGATGCATTAAACTATTCAGATTTAAATAACTCCACCGTCTGTCCACTTATTGTGGACACTTCACTTTGATGTAGACACATTAGTAGTGTGGAGGACACAGCTTAACCTGAAACTTCTAAAACAACTGTCCGACCGTTGTTACCTGAAATCGTCAGGACTGGCTGCGGTCTCCATCATGCTGTGAGTCAGGGAGTTCTGTGTACTGTATGTCGGCTGAAACTGTGGCCTGAAAGAAAGAAGAAGAATATTTTTATATATTTAACGGAACAGAATTTTGCACTTTTCTTTTTTCACAAGCAAGCAGAACAGTGTCATTGTTCAAAATTTTTTAAAAGGATTATTTTTTTTACATTAAACAAAATCTCACCATTAGATAAGACTTGATTCATACCACACTGGGGAAATTCAGTAATTTATTGTTTGTCTTATAAGCCAAGATTTTGTAAACTTGCTGTTCTAGTCCCAACAGAATGACATCAATTCTGAATTACAAAAAGTTGTCTTTTCTTGGTCTCCTACAGTATTTTTGACTCCAAGATGACTCATCACACTGGCATCAAACATGCACTCCCAGATTGTTCTCTGGAAATTAAGTGGCATCAAACAGGATGTATGACGTCAACACATTAGCAGATTTAAAGTGGAAGATGATTGACACAACACAACAACAACACTGTACGGGAGTTGAGTGAAATGAGAAAATGATGAGGATGTGACACTTACCCAGGAAAGGTTAAAGGACTGTGGAGATTATTAGCCACAGGTGTCTGCACTGGTAACGGGGGTGTGGCTGATCCCGACTCCCTGCAGACAAACACGTTGTCTTCCATTGGTCTAAAATCGACTCAACGTATTTCAGTATAATTTCAGTCTTACTTACGTTCCTACTTTAGTGAGCAGTGACACTGGGATATAACCACCGCCGGGAGCCACCTGAGGTTCTGTTAGAAAACCACCGCGATTAGTTGTTTTTTTCAGGCTTTCTCTCAATATAAGTCTGTATATTACAACCATTACCTGAGTAGAACTTTTTGAAGATTTCCTGCTTGGGAAGGTCAGGATACAAGTGAGTTATGTGACTGATGTCACGTATGCGATCCCCGAGGCTACGGATCTCCAGATCTCTCTTGGTGAATGGCTGGATGTTCTGTATTTTCTGACCGCCGTCTGATGAAAAAAAAAAAAAAACAGCTGAATTGTCAATGTTTTAAGTTGTGTGTACGACAAAGGAAACGAGAGAGTTATCACAGGAGACAATTCCTCCTGTAAGCAGCCGTCATTTTAATACATTTTTGGGGTTAGCTTTTAAAATCCATTTAAGACATTTGGTGAGACCAGATCAATCACAAGATTTGACAACTATCCGAAATAATTTTGGCCAGTTTATGACTATTATTCACAGAAAATTGACTTTAGACTCAAATGAATGTTTGTTATAAGTAATAAGAAGAAGTCAGAGTTAATTAATGTCTCAATGTGTGTGTTAATTAAAAAAAAAAAAAGTTTAAATAAAAAACCCTCCAGTGCATTACTTACTCTCAGAAGCAGAAACATAAGCAATAGTGATGCCTCCAATCTCTGAGTCACTGAAGCGCAGTAAGAAGGTCCCATTAGGCCGGTCCTGAAGAATCAGATGTAGATGCTGCTTTCCAATGAAACCGAATATCAGCCTAATGGAGCCAGACATCGCAAACACTTTTCAATATTGCATTCTGTAGCCAGAAGGTTGCTAATCTGAACTACTGAGATAACAGTAAACCGTCTTCACCCTGCACTCCAGTAGGTTTTCAGGTGTTTCTTAGTCAGGTCCATTACTCCCTCAAACCACTGCCAGAAAGTGAAAGATCGACCTGGCAGAACCTCCTGTGTGGTTGAAAGCAGCAGTGAGTCGTGAACAGAGAGTGTGTGTCTGTCAGAGAAGACTTGCATTTCACTGACGCTACCTTATTAAACTGGGACCAGGAAACCAGCATGTTGCTGTAGTCATCGGCAAAGTCAGACTTGTCGAATATCTTCTGGGCCAAGAAATGCTGGTTGAATTTGTCCAGGTTGTGTTGTGTCTGAACCTCAGAGGTGAATTTGCTGTTGAGAGTGTTGTACATCATGGTCCAGGGAACACGTTCTGGTACGAAGAAGGGCACTCTGTCCTGAGGAGAATGAGATAATGGTGAAATTAAAAAAAATACATATACATATGTGTGTATGTATACATATATATACACATATATGTGTGTGTGTGTGTGTATATATA